TAAACTAATGCTACTGAACTGTTAAATTATTTTGTTTAATATTACACTTTGAGTATCTTTTTCCACATAAAATCTGTTTCTGAATTACAAGCGTTTTCTTTTCATTATTTAACAATGTACACTGTAAAAAATAAAAATAAAAAAAATAAAACGAATTCAAACTTTGGGCTTCCCTGGCCGTAGTTAGTTGTATGTTTTGCACTAAACCCAGGCACTGCGCTTCTTGTACGATTGCGCTTCGTGCTGCAATTTGTTACGTTTGTAGAATATTTAATGAAGTCATTCAAATAAACCAAACCTGCTTTTGTTGAGCTGTGGGTTTTCTTGTTGAACAGCAGGTTCCACCCTCTCTCCGTCCTCTTCCTGGAGTGCTTTAACTGTTGCCCAATTTATCAGTTTGTCATAGGAAAGTACAAGGAACCCATTTACGGAGACCCCTGACTTCTCAAAAGCAGTGATCGGTACTGAGCCTTTGGCCCTGTAATAGAATACTCCGAAACAAGGTGCTGTAAGGAATAAGTCATAGAATGGATCTTCTTTGTGAGAGGAGGGGCCTAAGGGAAGGCAGGGGAGGAAGGCTGGAGGGTAACATGTAAGCAGGGCGATCTGCTTTTATGGCTGAGACTGTCAAGAAGCCGCCAAATTGCAGAGAAATGCTCAGCTATGCCAGGCAACGACTTGGCGGCTCCCCCGTCTGAAGCTGGGGTGGAGCTGCGCTAGCACCGGCTCCGTGCTTCCTGCTGGCGCTCGAGCAGGGTGTGCTGCCAGGGCACGGCGGAGTCCTCCTGCTCCTAAAAAAATGCTCTCCTCTCCGGGGTGGAAGGGAGCAGGGATGGGCGCCTGGGCTGCTGGGGCGGAGAAACTTGTTGGTGTAGATGCAGAATAGGAATTCCACCTCCAAATTTGTGACGGTACTGGTGAAGCGTGGAACTGCTTTCCAGGGTCATTCTCAAACAGCTGTAGACTTGCAGGAATTTGGTATTTCTAAACACTAATTGCTGCTGCATTTCTTTCCATTTCAAGAACAGCTTCTGTTATGAGTCATGCTGCGCAAGGCCTTAAAGGATAAAAAAATGCTCCAAGTTTTCCTGCCCTTTTCAAAGGGACCAATCCGGAGAGGCTCACTGCGGTGATTTAGAGGAGGCACGGCTACATTTGCGCTGTTTCCATAGAGGCAAGAGAGCTGACGCAGTTGTGTTTATGTGAGACTGATTTTTTTTTTATTGCAAAAGTTTGGAGCGGTTTTGAATACCGTAATTCTGCATGTTCCCTTCCTGACAGGTATCTTATTCCAGCAGCGCATGACTCGGACATGCGGTTATGTATTTCTTCCCGGGGCTGTTCTGAAGGCAGCACTGAATGGGAGAGAAACCAGCACAGTGAAATGTGAAACTGTTTTCTAGATGTAATCGATTACAGTTACTTAAAATTTGTCCTGTCTTTCCATAATGCAGTCAGTCCTTGTTCTTTGTCCTGTTAGGGAGGTAAGTGGGTAGTAGAGGATCTTTTAAGGAAAAAGGACCGATTAAGTGGTGAAGGTAAAGTAGGAGGAACAGGAGGAACTGCTGAATACTTCAAATCTATTTACATTTGGACTGCTTTAAGAGACTTGACCAGATAGAGCAGTGATGGCAAAGCACAGGAACAAGGTCCTGTTTCAAGTCTGACATTGATTTCGGGGTTGCACTGATCAAAGAATTTGAGTAAATTTTGCTGGTCCAGCTCTTAACTTCCAGTCCTGCAGTATCCTCCTCCTCCTTGTCACCAGCACCGCGCTTCTGAAAAATACTGCTGTATCCAGTTTGAAATACTGCTCAAAAATCCGTCCTTTGACCTTCTTACTGGAAGGAACAGCTGTTGCTCTGCTCCGAAGTTTAAATCCCACTTGAAGTTTGCTGTTGCCCATCTTAAAGCCAACGCAAGGCTGTACAGATGTGAGGGTAGTCTCTGTAGCTTCTTACTTGTAACTGGTCAGAGTGTGTTAACTTCTTTGAGCTTGTTAAACTGGAATGAGTTGTAATGGTTTGAAGGGTATAGAGGCAGGAACAGCTACAAGTGTGGCTTGTTCTTCAAATTTCATGTTTATTTCTGTATTGAAAAGGGTTGAAAGCTTATTTAAAAACAGAAGTGCAGCTCCCATCCCCCTTACTTTACAGAGGGTCCAAGGAAACAGTGTGAGGTGCTGCATGCGACTCCCTGGCCGCAGCCCCAGCGTGCTCCTGCCCCTGTGCTGCCCTGTTGCATGGGCACAGCTGAATGTGCTGCTGCTGCTGCACGGGAATCCCGTGGGGCTGAGGAACAAGCTGAGGAGGAGCGATGGGCTCCGCGAACCCCCTTTGTGCAGCCGCAGGGCAGACGGCTGGGCTACACGTCCGTGTCGGACGCTGCCACAGCTTCGCACCCTCAGCCTCGCTGAATAGGCGAGCGCAGCTTGTAGCCTTCGGCACCTGACCGTAACCCAGCCTCTCCCCATTTCACTGAAAATCTCTTTTCTCTGTGCTGAAATGCAACACTGAGGGAGGCAGAAGCTGTGAATTGCATCTCATGGTAAAGATTAATTCTGTTACCATTTCGGGCAAATTACGTGTAACATCAGCTTGTGGTACAGCCACAAGTCTAGTGCTGCAGAAGCACAAAAGAGTGCTTGTTTATACAAAAAGGCATCTGAAACATGTAATAACTTAAAAGTACATTAAGTTCTTGCTGGCTGTATTAAACTCTTCTGTGTTGCTTTACCATGATATACGGGGAAATCCATTGATGCATTAGACTTCCTCACATAGTTTGATCAGCCACCTGCAGCCTTCTGATGTAATCCAGTATGGAGGTAGTGGTACCACCAGGTGTCTTATGTGGGTTCTAGCCTCCTTTTCTTCAAGCTTTGACTTCTCCTGTGGGGGCTGCACGCTGCCAAACAAGGAGATAGTGAGAAATGGGTTTCTTAAAGCTTTTTTTCTGCTTCTAGAAGTGCCCCTCAATTCTTTTTCTAGCTCTTCCTTGATAGGACAGTTGGATGGAAAACCCAGATGGTTCTCCTAGCCCACTATCACAGCATCTGCAGCCAGGTCCAAGAAAAGAGGAACGTTTCTCCCACTCCAACTTACTAATCTAACAGTGCTGCTTTCACAGCCAAGAGCCGTTGTTAAGACAGAACTCGGTCATTCCTCGGTAGCACGTACCTGGGGTGTGCTGGTTGGCACAGCTGCTGTTGCTCATGATCGTAGCAGATGGCTGCAGTTGTGCAAGTCTAGCGGAAGCTTTGTGGTAATTCATTCTGTGAGGGGTCTTGTTTCGAGCAGTCATTTGATGATGTTGATGTCCATGGGGCGTTTCAGGTGCCTGGTGTCCAGCTGATGGGTCTGCCGTTTTGTGATCCATTATCTTAAGATCAATGGTCTCCAAGGAAACATCCCAAAGTTCAGGATCATCTAGAATGAATGAAAAGGTGATCAAAGCCAAGGCAGCAGTATTGCACTACAGGAACAACAGTAACTCCACGACCAGCCCACTCTTTTCCTATAAGTGGTGGCCAGGATAAAAGTGAAACTGTAAACTATCTTCTACGTCAGCGCACAGCAGGGAAACTGTACTACCCTTGTGCTCTGGACTTGAGCAATTTCCAAGTACCGTGGTGAAAGTGTGACCCAAACAGCCACAGTTATGTTAAGAAAAGACACATGCGCTCGCCCCCAGCAATGTTCTGTTTCCGTGTAGTACCACTTCAGGAAAACGGTTTACTGAAGAGGTAAACAACTCTACTGAAAAGTGTTAAAATGTTAAAAATGTTAAACCCTTAAACCCCTCCTAGTGATGGACATCATTCCCCTGCCACTCAAGCAAGGTTTGTGGTGTTAAGATCAGATTCATAGTTGCACTTCTAGTATTCCAGCCTCTTCAGAACGGTTACCTTTACGCAAGTACTTTGAAGAGCTGATTTAAATGCTAATGATTTAACATGCTATTACCCATCACTTTTTGGCTGACCTGCAAAGAACTCCTCTTCTATCGCTAGCTCCTGTTGTACTGCTGCTGGAGTACTGTGCTTCACAGGAGGATCGGATGTTGCTGGATGGAGGCGACACAGGAAGAGATTAATAGTGGAAATGCAGAAGAACCCTTTTGCTCCTCCTTAACAGAGCACAAGTCTGCAATGACAACCAGCAGCTGCCCTCAGGTACTCTTTCTTCCTAGAGCTGGTTATGTTTTGGTAGCAGTATGTCAAAGGGTAAGATCCTACACCGGATGATGGCTGACGAGCAACTGCACTATTTTTAAATGGTTTTTAGCCTGTTTACCCCATCCCCAAGTTTCTGCTTACCCCACAGCTGTCCAGACTTCCCCATGAGTAAGGAGCAACATGTTAGCAGCCAATGCAATGTCTATTTGCCTGCAACCACCTCAGTGAAGTGCTGCAGCCTCAGCTCAGCTGCAGCACGTTAACGGCACTGGCAACAGCCGCTGTGCTGCATTGAATCTTTCAGGTGGATGGAAAGTTGCAGTCCTAGCGATGCAGGTTTAGAGCTGCCATTCCTGCCACTGTAAGGACGTGGCAGGGGGTTAAGGTATGATAATCCTCATTCCTTTGGCCTCAAAGGTGAGTTGACAGCACAGTACAAAAACAAATGAAACTGGTCATTGCAACAGTACAAAAGCGAACGAAACTCCTCAACATGAGGAAAAACTTCTTTACATTAAGGGCGGCAGAGCACTGGAACAGGCTGCCCAGGGAGGCTGTGGAGTCTCCTCCCTGGAGATCTTCAAAACTTGCCTGGACCTGATTCTGTGCGACCTGCTCTAGGTGAACCTGCTCTAGGTGAACCTGCTTTAACAGGGGGGTTGGACTAGATGATGTCCAGAGGTCCCTTCCAACCCCCACCATTCTGTGACTCTGGTGAGGCTCCTGTATCGAGGGCAACACCTGCCTGCCAGTACCTATCAATAAAACTGTCCGTTTTTAATGCCAAGCCTTACCCTGCTTGCTGCTAGGAGCCACCACCGGAACCTGATGCTTTTTCTCCATCTGTTCCCGGAACTGTTGCTGTAGCTGCTTTTGTCGCAATTTCCGCTGGTAAGTGGCATCACACTTGATAGCGAAGGAGTCTGTATCTCTGCCCCTCCCCCCCAAGTAAGCACAAAGTTAAATGGGATTTCAGCAATCACATTTTGTGAAGAAAAAGAATGCATAAAGAACTAACAGCAAGGAAAATCCACTAAACTAGTGTTTTATGGCACCTGCTGAAATGGGCTGCCCGTGTGTTTTAAAAGGTACAGTAACTTCCAACGGAGCTCATAAAATACTTTTACGACAGCAGCCTCACCTGGAACTATTTGGCTGTTTCTGCTCTGCTGTCATGGCAGCAGCCTCTGCCTGACCAGGCTTATAGTTAGATGCCATCTCACAATGTTGTCTCCCTCCTGCGTTCTGCCTTTCCAAGCAGCTACTGTATCTTGCTTTCTCTATTTCAGGCTCGTAGTCCTGTCTTTTAGCTTTAACCAAATCTAACTCAGGGGTTATCTAGTAGAGGAAAAAAAAAGAAAACATATTCAGAAATTTTCTTCATCAAGTTAATGAAATATGCACAGACTTTTCTATACAGTACTGTTGAAAAATCTAGTTTGTTTCCTGTAAGTGGAATAGTGAGTTTGTACTGAAAATGCATTTCAGTTTTCTAAGTCATTCAGTTAGTTCATGATTGAATTCACAGAAAACTGAAATGCATTTTCAGTACAAAGTCATTCAGTTAGTTCATGATTGAATTCACGCGACTTTGTGTTCGTTTAATAGCTCAGTGCTTCAGGGCAGGTAGCCCATGGCTCCTCATACCCTGCTCTCTGCAAACGAGAACAGGTGCAGGTGGTTGATGCAGAATTCTGCCACATTTCAGCCAGTCTCACCAGTCTGTTACTTTTGCTCGTTGTTTTCACACTTGTATTGAAGGACCTGGCAAACCTTTACTCAGTTCTGCAATCACCAGGTCACTGAGGAAGGTACACCACTCTCTTTTTTATTAGAGATGGGATGGTTTGGCCCTCTGACTTTACAAATTTGTGGCAATGCCACTAACAGACAACGACCCTGGCAAAGCAGAGATCTGTGCCACCTTTACTCGGCGAGGTGTCACTTCGGCTCTGCTCCTGCAGCCTTCAGTTAGCTACACAGAACTGTCTTACAGCTCCAGGCTGGCTAGCGGACTTTGGTAAATCCTCATATGATGAAGGCAACTTTACTATGAAACTCCACAGATCGGCAGCTGTAAAAGGTTTGCTTTTTCCTCAAGCAGCAAGGTAGGTGACTGCCTAGAAGCCTACTGCCCCCAACTGGTACCCATCAGGAGCTAACACAGCTGACGTTGGTTACTGAGGTGCAACCTCAATAGCAGCCAGGACAACTTTAATACTATGAGGACTGCTGTGTTACATCACAGAATCCTTAAAGATAGTGATAGCTCTGAAAGAAGGGGGTTACAGTATGGTTGTCACTGATGAAGGGGCACTTCACAATCTCTTGTCTCCCTCTGGACCGAAGACCTCCAAAAGAGGCATTTCTCCATGGTGGTGTTTGCGTCGCAAGGCTCACTGACCTAGTGCTTCACAGAGGGTAAAGTCACTGCAGCTCTTCCCTTGCAAACTGAAACCTAAGGAGTCTGAAAAGCAAAGCAGGATGTACTGTGGCTTCTTATTGTTCGGGAAGGATAAGAACCATAATTACGGCACGGAAAATAAGTGTTCAAGAACACATCAGTTTTACGTGCTAATTCTTCACACGTTCAAGAGTCACAGTTTGCCAGTAGTGGCATATCAGGAATTTAAAACAAATAAATTGGAGTGTAGATCTTCCTAATGCTATTCCTCATCCTTCAGCAGCCAAATCCAGTACATCCTGCTCTCATAATTCAGCTGCAAAACACAGGTACCAACCCATTTTTGAAGTCAAGCAGAGGACATCTGCAGGGCCACTTGTACACTCCTCATGGACCAAAGCAAAATAGTGTTACCTGTTTTGCTGTTCTGTGGTAAAACTTTGAAGTGACTGGCACCAGCTAAAACTTGTTGTGGGTCCAGTCTAAACAGTTTGGTTCACCCTTTCTATCATAGATGCTTCTAGTAGTTTGCAGCGCAGTGTTCTTTTAGGAAGGGCTCCAATTTGGTTAACTGAAAGTTGAAATTACCTTTGAGACCTCAGTACCAAAACACAGGTACAGAACAGCTACTTGTTAACTGTTCTAACAAGAACAATGAGGGGTGAAATACAGGCACACTGTAAATTTTGTTACAAGGACCATGCTGAGTGTATTCTAGCTGTGATGTGCATTTGGGCCTGGTAGAGTTAGTAATAGGTAGAGAATACCGGTTAGTAAAAGGACAAAGCAACTATCAATGCATATATTGACATCGCTGCTGTATGGATTTTGCTTAAAATTAAGAGAAAGTCCCAACTACAACAAGCAGCTTTGGTATGTGACCCATCTGGTATTGTTTCTAGGATATCCTGGGCTATGCATATTAAAAACTTAATTTGAAGGATGAAGTCCTTCTCATGGAAAAACTTCCTGTTTTCTGCCAGAGCTCCCTAAAGTCTAAAGAACACCCCTTTTTCCTGCTGCCCACTGGCTGACATACAGACTGTCAGCTTGAGAGACTTCAGGACTAAATGAAATAGTCCTGATTTTGCAGGAAAGCACAGAGGAGCTGTACCTGCTTTAGGGTAGGCTGTACAGATAACAGATACACTGTCTGCCTGCAGCCTCTGGTTTTATGACCTATCACAGCAATTGGAAACTGTGTCACTGCATGCAGTTATTTCCAATCCTTTTCTTTTTCTATTCCTGAAAAAGTTCAGTAATGAGAGAAATATGAAGGGTAAGTTTGATTTTTAAAATTCATAACAGTAAACTGGATTGTGCTACCATGGACAATGAGAACAAACTGAGAGATGTGTTCTGGGTTTTGCCTTATACAGGGCAAAAGCATACAGTAAAGGAACACCCGTGCGGCCTTGGCAGACTGTTCTCCCAAGGACTTCCATTTCTCCCATTCATGAATACCTAACTTGACACTGGTTATCATTGCTGATACAGGTTTAAAGCAGAAGTGGCTAGATGAGGGTGATGAACTGAGTTGTTGCAACGACAGAGCTGCAGCACATGGAGAAATCGGCATCTAGACTGAGCTAGTCAAACAGTTTAGTGTTTCCTGTGGTAACATTTAACCTGCTGTGAACACAGCTGTATGCATCACTGGCAGTGAACGGAGAGACTTGGACACCACGGCCACAACTGTCACATGAGATCTCAAGTAGGATGCTGTTTCTTCACCACTGGAATCCTGCCTGCTGCAAACAGTCAATATTTAGAGGAGTTGTGGTAGGATGTCAGGGAAGAACTCTGTAACAAACAGTTGACACAAGCAGGCAAAGGCTATGGGTCTCACAGCTGGAAACATTATTCAGGGATGAGATGCATTGATATAATTATTCACAATCTTTTTTATATGAAGGACCAGAGGCAGCAGACATCTTGCAGTCCCTGCTCTAACAGCCCGTGTACTGCACCTGACGCGGAAGCTTATTCACGGCTCGTAGGTAGTCTTTGTCTAGGATGCAGTTCCCCAGAGCATTCCCAAAGCACCTGAGAAACAAGAGAGCTCGCTGTGACTGAAAATAACACTTAATTCTCACCTAACTCCTGAAAATGTACAAGTACTGATCTGCACTTACTTGAGTGCTCTCTTCAGTCCATCTGTTACTGCCTCCTTTCTTGCCTTTTCTAGGGACAAGGCCTTAGACTTCAGGCCTTCACTGACTCCATACCCCACATCTTCATGGTATGACCCATCCTGCAGTAAAATGTTAAAAATACTAAGTATAAGGGAATTTCTGCACATACAGCACTTCTTGTGAGATGCTGTGCTTTCCTAAGCCTGATTACTCGCTCTTAGTTGGTTGTTCTATAGCGAGGTCAAGGTTTTGGACACTACTAGGTTCTCTGGTGTAGTGCAGTACTCAAGAACCACAGTCTGACCTATGCGTGAGCTTCCATTCACAGCTTTAGGCAATTGCTCAACTATAGTCAGAGCAAACAAACAAACAAACAAAAAAATCCACTTACCTTAAGCTGAACTTTCACAAATGCACAGACACCCACATAGAACCTGCCATTGTTGAGGTCGACAAAGTCTGGAGGAGGGAAAAGTAACACCCTAAATAACACAAAAGACCTCTGATCTGCATTCAGATCTTATTTTGTCCTCTGAGGACATTCACAAACCTGTACCATACTTGCTGAATGTGTCCAAAATGCTGTATCATCTGCTATGAAATGGAGCATGACTTTACTACATTAACTGTAGTTTGATAATGCTGACTTGCGTATCTGCTCTGGGCAAGTTACGTGACACTGTCTGGTTGTTAGTGGCTAGGCCTGCCAAGCACTCGCAGCCTGCTATTACATGTATAAACTTCAACATAGGAAAGAGGGAAGAGTTGTAAATGTTACTTCTCATTCAGCTACATATCCTAAATGCTCAAAGCATAACAAATTTTTTCAGCTGGAAGGAAAGATCTAAAGTATCAATTTATAAAAACAGCAATGGAAAATAAACTGTTGTCTATAAAAGTAACTTCTTTCCTATTACGTACTATAAGTCTCCAGTTTGCAAAATTTTGCACAAGGTTTTATCCAGGACAGCCTGCCTGAAGAGCTCAACAAGTTGCAATACAACTTGCAATCCAGAATCTCTAATCTACCTTATTTTACACCAAAAGCAACGCTACATAACATACGCAGGGCACTCTAGTTAGCAGTCTTGCAAGTCTGATAGAAACACGACACACGTCTGAAATGAAATGCTTTGAAGTTCAAGTAACTGTACTCTGGGGTCCAAAAGTTCTTCTGTACTCACCTGGTCTACTTATTTAATTCTTTTGTAAACCTGCCAGAGGTGCAAGCCCTTTTTCTAAGCAGGTATTTAAAACCAAACATAACAGAATCCTCTGTCTCTGAATTTCTAGTTATGGCATTATTTGAAAAAGATACAAGTTTGAAGGATGTCAGTCCTTTCTTGACTGAAAAGGAGGGCGTAGGTGGGAAGCGGTATAGAATAGATGGAAAGCAATGAAGTAATTTGTCTTATGTCTAGAATCTACCAGCCTGAGGTAAGAAAACATTTCTGAAGTCAGGGGGGAAGGAAGGAAGTACATTTAAGCAGATTTGTTGAGCTATTTCAACAACCAGCCTTCAGTCTAAGCATAGCAGACCTACAAACAAGGACAATACTCTGCTGGTAGGAACTATTTCAGCTATCGGGATTGAAGAAGGTTATCTTTAAGATCACCTGAATACCATTTCCTAGAAGAAGATTTTTTCCAAAGCTTTCTACTGTAAAAATCTCAGAACCAGGTATTCACTAGAGGAGGAATCTGCAGAAAAAGATGGGTCCCTGAAGATTAGGGGAATATTAACTGAGAATATGAACTTATCAGAATATAAAAATTACAGGTAAGTATGAAAGTTGGCTCAGGGCTGCTGGATGTTAAATAGTTTAACTGTAATTACTCTCGACTGAGAGTTCCCATAGAGATCAGAACACTTGATTAGAATAGCTCAAGAATAATCATAAACACACTTAGAAGAATGACTATGACATATCCCAGTGCAAGATCTAAAAAGCAAACAGAAGCTCCATTATTATCAATTTCTCTCATTCTTACCAACTGCTAAGATACCTGGAAATTCCACATGCCTCTTCCCATGTGCTTTGAAGTGATCAAGTTCTAGGATAGATACCCTGGTCCTTATCTGAGAGACTTTTCCTTCAGTGCCTCACAGTGAAACAAGAGGAAAGGGACTTCTTTACCCTGAAGAGACACTCACCAACATTCTGCTGAGTGACTGAATGAGCCCAGCCATTGAAGCCAAACATCTCATTGGCCAGACTGATTACCTTGTGACCCTCAATGTAACAGACCTGAAAAGAAAAGCATATACACATAAATATATCTATAAATACATACACACGTGCGTGCATCTATATGTGGTTTATTTTAAAGAGGGATTACGCACATCATCGTAAACACTGAGGAAACCCAGCTAAGTTCAAGGTCCAGATAATGTGAACAAAAGGATGATGATGTAGCGTTAGGTTCACCCTCTTCCAGCAACTGTGATAGGGAGTTAATATGACAACAAATATCACTTTGTCAACGGAAAGCAGAGCTAGCAGGCACCAAGGAGGGTACAATGCATCCAACGTTATATAATGCTTCATATATGCCAGTTCTGGCAAAAAATAAGAAAAACATCTCAATGTTCCGTAAGTAGATAAATATTGCCTTGTAAAGGATGAAGCACTGAAAATTTAAGTCTTTTTTTTTAAAGTGTAAAAGGAACCTGTGGCTCAGTAAAAACCAGAATTTATGCTATGCTGACTTTGCTTTCATATCTGCATATTAAACTACTAGTGGGAAATTAACTCCAAAAAAAAAAAACCCCAAGGATTATTTCACCTGGTATGTTTTTTAGCCTAGTTTTCCTGGAAAAAACTGAGTTGAAACATCTATGCATGTTTGTTCGTACCTTTTGTCCTCCTCCAGCTTGCCGACTGCTGATATATTCTGGACCCAGTCTCTGACGAAGAGCATGCTGGATAGCTTGATACTCACTTGCTGTGTATTGATACTTGATAAAAACAAAGTAAGACAAATGTTTTCACTCTCCCTATTTTAGCTCCCCCTCTTCTCCTAATGTCATTTCTTTAACCCATTTTCCCATGTACAGTCCTTCCAAGAGGTGTACAATCCATCTGTAGAATCAGGATGTGAGAGACAAGGAAAGACCTCAGGGGAGGTCTGTCCATTACACTTGTGCATTATATTGGCTTTTTTCTCTTACTTATTTTTAATTTTTTTTTAAATTATTTTTTAATAGCTGAAAGTAGTTGACTTTTCTGAACCAGCACTGAGAATGTGTCTAAGCACGATCTAGGCCATCCAGAAATAAGAGAGAATAAAACGAACCCCAGTTTTAAGGAACTACATAAAAAACCTTTTGTGAAGAACCCAGAGCAATTTATTGTAACTCGAGGCATGCCAAGGCTATCACGGAGGAAAATGTACCGTACAATTAGGAATAGCATAGCTAGGGGAATGGATATGACTCCAGCCTTACTGTATCCATCTTTAAAATGAGTAAACATGCAAAGCAGATTTCCAGGCCTGCAAGCATAAAGCTTCTGTTTCCCTCTCAGGCAAAAGGAACCGACCTGTCCGAAGTGAGCAACCGAATTGCTCGTGCTGGAGCTGTTGCTGCTGATGCAGCTTTCGCTGTCTTTCCCTTGACTTTCAGGCATCCCTAGAGACAAGAGAAAATATAAACGCTGAAGATTAAAAACTAGCAGTCTGTATGAAGACACGCCAAAATGCTGTTGAAGTCCACTGCCCAGTTAGTGTAAAAATATTCTATAATAGATGTGTTGGACATTACAGTAATATTATACTTCTCACTCCATGGCATTTGCCTTCTGATGCTGTTTCAGAACAGTCAAGACTTTTCTTACATTATAAATACGTTATACTAGAAATGGCTAGCTTCATCCTAGAAGCACAGTCACTGTTCTGGTCTTCCTTCCATAGAACCAGTAAGGGCGAGCCTAAATTAAATTCCATGGCAACAATAAAACAATTATTTTATTTGAAAAACAAAGAAATTATTCTTGCTATTAAAAAAAAAAATAATTCAACAACATCTGGATGCTGCATAAGATCAGAGACCAGAACAAAAAAAATTAATAATGTCTCGAGTCCTTACTCTAAATATTACACTGGTAACAAATCTTTTTTTTTTTTTTTCTTTTTAGGTAAACGTGAATGCATCGTACCATTCTAGCTAAGGAAAACAAAATAAGTTCCTCGTTCAGATTCTTCAGCATTGTCTTCCTAGATCACTTTCAACACCCGGTAATACTTAGATTCTGGTAACAAGCAGAGGCAACTTTCTAAAATTCTACTGGTCTATACCATGACTTGTCAGTCTTTAATTCAGATTATTGTTTTGATTGGAATCACACTGTCTTGTGTTACGATGGCATCATATAAACTATACAGAGTTGTAAACCAAACAAAACCTGTAAGAATTTTAGGAAGTTGTGCCGGCAGTTCAGTAGATGGCACCCTTTTCCAAGGCAGTACCCAGTACTGCACTACCACTCCACCCTGCTGCTGCAGAAGTGGTCTTGCTGAGAGCTTACACAGCAGGCGTGCAACGGAGCTGAGCAGCACTGCTACGGGAGCCTGTAGCGACAATCTCTTACTGTACTTGCACAAACGCTGAGTACAACTGGCAGTCTAGCACTACCACTTTTGTACGCAATACAAATATGAGACAAGACAATGTACGTACAAGACAGCTGGAGATGTCAAAACCGTTTGAGAAAGTCTGAAACCCTCAGTAAAGAGCGTTATTTGACAGTCAGTCAGACCTGGCTAGTATTGTGCTTTTCTACTGTACTCCAGGTTCAGCACTTTTTAAAACAAGTTGTTTTTCTAGTCTCTAAACAAGGCAGCCAAAGTTTACCGAGAACTTGGCAAAAAGTTTTCAGAAAAAGGATGCTAGTTGTTTCGTTGGTGAGTGTGAGCACTGGTAATTATGCTAGGTGTAGCTAAAATTCTCCTTAATTTTGGTTGGCTATAATTATTCATCTCCAGTCCAAAAGTTGTATAATTATACAGTGTTTATACATTTGGATGTGTTTCAATGAAAAGTCAGCTGCAATTTCTGGTAAACACACTTGGTTTTGGAAGAGAGCGAACAGAAATTAATATTACCAGGAGAAACACTTGTGATTTAAGCAGGCTATTTCCCCTGCTAAGCAGAGAGTTCATTGCATTGTGATGGAGACAATTAAAGAGAAAAAATAGTAGGTGTGGTGAGTGGCAGAGGGAATTAAAGTTTGAAGGATAATACTTCCCCCCCCTACTCTAAGCAGTCTAAATCAGATCTTAATCATTGTAAAGCCCTTGGGGAAAAAACAATGCATGGAATGCGTGCATTTGCCTACATAACCCTATTACCAGTTTGCCACAAATCTCTATGCACAGTAGGTGGGTGGCATTTTGAAGTAAAACTTCTTTAACTGAAACCAGTATGAAGTCCTTGAAGTTTTTCTATGGTGTGCACCATTATCAGTCTAAATTCTCTAAAGAGATACACCTTTAATGAAGCTCTGAATTAGACATGGGAATAGATTCTGAATGAGAACGAGGAAGTACAGAACTCTGCTGAAAACAGCGTCACATCACACAGTTTTAGTCCAACAGATGAGAAGCTGCTAGAGAACCCTGGCAAACACTTCTGTGCAACAGGCAGTTTAAAAACATGTTGGGGGTTTGTATTCAAATTCTGTGTTACTCTGCAGCTTGTGTGAAGGAGACAGATGATGCCAGTTTAGTTTCAGGCTTTGCCTGTAGGAAGAGTTTGCTTCTTCAGCTGTGAGCTTCGTTTAAACCAAACATTCTCTTGGAGCAATGTGGCGGTTTCTTCCAGTCGGTGAAGTGCAGCACAGCAAAGCCCCATGTCTCAAAGCAATTGTCAGAGCATTTCAAAGTGACGGAACTCCAATTTCAAAGTTATTAGAGTAGAAGTTCAGAAGAGAGAAATGTTAATTCTGCACATGGAGTTATCAATACCAGAGCCAGGGAAGTCAGGGCGCTTCCATTCCTCGGTAAATGTCTTTTCCTCACCTCCCCCCTCCCCACAGCGTTTTAAGTCACATGAAACATTAATACTGAAGTAGATAATAAACTATTGACTGGAGTACAAAAGAGCCTCAAACACCCTCCAGAGCCAGGGCACTGCCTGAATCATAAAGTGGTGTTAAAAGAAGCTGTATTTTCAAACCATCTTGAAATACTAAAAATTAAAGTTAAAATATATTTGCTCTGTATGCAGGATGATAAAAGCAGTTTATCACCACTTTAAAGACACCTAGGAATTAGAATTTATTACCTCTGTGATTGTGACCATTATTTATTATTTACAGGGAATTCTTTCCAGTTTAGCTGGTAAGGTTCTCACTGAGAAAAACCACACACAAGACTATACAGGTCTTGCACTGTGCTCCAAAACGTTACCTTGATAGACTAGAACAGGCAAAGAATCTTCACAGCTCTTACTACTGCCATGTTTTGATCTTGGTTTTTTTTTTAAAAAAAATGTCAATAACACAAAAGCTTAAAATTTGACCATATTAGGTACACACGATCAGAAAAATGGCTGGTTTGGGAAACTGGTTATGGAATACTAATTTTCAACAGCACCCTAGAAGTAGGTATTTATTTGTACGGTGGTAGTGAACTGAGCAGCTGCTGAGAAAAATTTGGGTGCATACACAAATTCGCATGTAGGAAATACACCAGTCATCTAGAGCAGATAATCCTGAATTTAATCTGTTCAAGTACAACTACTACTGTAGGTTACGGCAGCCACACCTTCACCTTCCATGCTAGTATGCGCATTTCTCATTTTCTAAATTAACATGTCCTCACACATCTTTCTACCCTACTGTCCCTTACCCCAAAGAGACATTTTGGTCCTAAATCACCTCTTTTCCTATCAGTTCCCCTTTGTCTTGACAAACCAGGTTTTTGAACAGTGCACTGTGCCTTAATCTTGCGCTAGAAGTGTCAGTTCCCAGTTCTCTTCAAACTGGGTAAGGTAGAAGCAGGCAGTTTTGCATCACTTCAAAACAGTGCATATCATGGATTGTGTAAGTACCACAACTTGGGAAACACTCAGCTAGAGCATGGCTGTTTCAAGAAATTAATTGCAGCATCACACAGCCTGTAAGATACGACTTTAACGTACCGTGCAGTTTTAGGGAGATTTTTATCCAATCTCATCCCTCTCTATACATTAAGTTTCCTTCACAGCGAAGCTTTAGTTTGCTGAGCAAAAAAATCTTTAACGTTCCTTCAATAAATGCAATTCTGCTGAGCCCACCAAGAGCAAACAGCTACACATGTAGCAACAAGTGATTCAGCAAGCACTAAATACCATGTATTTAACCTAAGGCTCACATTGCTCCAACATAAAAAATAGAAAAAACTTCAAAAACTGTGTATTTCTGTGGAGTATTCTCTCCTCTGCAAACTTCAAACTGTAAGTTGATTACCCCATGATGCAAAGGTTGCTTTATCCAACACTGAGCTGAGGTGTACCTCTTTTAAGTATAAGATGTTCCTAACCAAGGCAAGCCTGTGCGACACCACAGTGTAAGGAGCGGAAAACAGATTACGAAACTGCTGTGGGAAAATTGCATACACTATAACTCCTCAGTTTTGCCTTCTGATACTATCTCTAGGCAGATAGCCTTGACGACTTGAGAAAAGTGATGTAATGTTCTGTTAACTTCAACAGGAGAAAAAGATATTCAGTGTTTTAGAGATTAAAGAATGAAATGCACAGGGAGGTCATGAGACTGGATGTCTGTTGTAGACTAAAGGTGGTCTCTGGTGCTTGCCAATACCGTATCGATGCATCTTACTGGCATTGATTCAAGCCACATTCTGTAGTAAAACTGCCCCAGCAAGAGAACAAAAAGGTGTAATGTAGAAAGTTTGAGCCATCTGCAGCAGTTTCGATATATTTGCTTTCCAAGCATACAAATACCACTCTACCAATGTCTCCTCAGTTACAGCACGTTTCGGATTTGACACCCCTTCAAACAGTCCCACTTTTGTTTCAGTGGAATCCAGATACCTGGCTCCAAAAGCAAAAATTAACCCCTAGATTTATCAGGCAGTACTATGTTTACCTTCGGAATGTCTAGGATGATGATACCCTCCCTGCACAAAACAGAAAACACTAATTCTGGTTACGCTTTTTACTGATTAACATTTTAATGAACACTGTGTAAAGCTCTTCCTTTCTTATCTTTGTACAACCTTGGCAGAATAACATAGCGCATTAGTGGAGGAGTGTTTCTATTTAGAATGTCTGAATATATCCAGCATCTGAAACAAAGCCTATCTGATCAGTTCCTGCGTTTTTGGAACACAGGATGGGAAACTCCTCTTCTTACTCCTGATGCTGAGTTCTCTGTCATAACAGCCTTTATGAACTCAGTGAACATCACTGTATCTCTGGAAAGCTCCTGATTCCCCAGCAATTACAAATCCCAGTCAGAATGGGTTAGTTTAACGCATGTGTTGCTGTGGTTCAGAGCGCGTACTTTCCAAATTTTGCTGGTCACTCCTCCGAACCTGTTCCTTAATAGCAGTGCCATGCAAATTACTTCTCTCCTACACAATTTTGTTCACTGTTTTAAAATTCAGCACCCATTATCACTTTTGC